CAAAAAATAACATAAGGCCGGGGCGGCCCGGTGGCGCACTGGATAGTGCGCTGCTTGGGAAGCGCGGCGGCGCTCCCGCTTGAGGGTTCGGATCCCACATACGGAACGGTTCCCGCTCACTGGCTGAGCGAGGCGCGGGAGCAGCACCGAGGGTTGCGATCCGTTGCCGGACACGGAAAAAGACAAAAAAAAAAAAAAACAAACCCACAATGAGATAACACTTCACACCTACTAAAATGAATACATTAAAAGGGATAGAAAATACCAAATGGTGACCAGGATGTGGAGAGAATGGAGCCCTCACACGGTGCTCGTGAGAATGTACAAAACTGGTGCAGCCATGGTTAAAAACACTTCAGCATTTCCTCAAAAATTTAGACAGAGTTATATGACATAGTCATTCCATTCCTAGGAATACACACGAGAGAAAAACGCATATATCCACATAAAATTCACCGAGGAATGGATAAACAAAATGCGATATATTCACACGACAGAATATCATTTGCCCACAAAAATAAGGAAGTACTGATGCATGGTATTACATGGATGAACTTTGAAAACATTCTGCTAAGTGAAAGAACCCAGACACAAAAGGTCGCATACTTTATGAGTGCACTGAAATGAAATGTCTTAGGCAAATACAGAGAGAAAAAGTAGATTAGTGGTTTCCAGGGACATGTGTAGAAGGAGGTAATGGGAAGTGACTATTATGGGTATAGGGTTTCTTTTCTGGGTGAGGAAAATGTTCTGGAATTAAATAGTGGTGATGGTTGCACAACCTTGTGTGAATAATAAAATCCACTCAATTGTACACTTTAAAAGGGTGAATGTTATGGTATGTGAATTATATGTGAATAATAGTAAACAGACCTGGATACTAGTCTTAGTACAGACCTTCTGGTACTGAGTCATACCTAACCCCACTGTACCTTATTTTCTCTTTTGCAGTATGGGGAGGATGATAACCATCCGACCTGCTTTCCCAGGTCTCTGGGGAAGACAACAGAAAATGCTGGATGTAAAACTGCACTCTACATTCTGCCAGTGCAAGACCAAATACAGGAAGCCCTTGATCTAGGGGAGGATGGCACAGACCTTGGTGGTTAAGACACCGTACACTTTTGTTCTGTACTGCATTCAAGGGGTTCTCAAAAACATTATTTTGCTTGATGATTAAAATTCTGACAGGCAAACAAAGTAGTTAGTGTTATTTTGTCCTTCCAGGAAAACCCAGAGTAAGAGACCTGGCAGGTACCCCCACAGCTTTAACAACAATCTGGGCCTTCTGCATACGAACCCCCTTATCCTCCACAACTTCAGTCCTACCGGGCTCAGCCTACCCTCCAGCTTTCCTGCGCTACCGAGCATCTCCCACTGCTTCAAGTAGGGCTGGAAGGAGAGAAGCGGCAGAGGAGTCCCTGGGTACGTCCCGTTTTCCTCCCCAGGAGCCCACTTCTCCCTACTCTAAAACGTCATCGGCCTATCAGGCATCCTGGGGTAAGTGGTAATCACCCAGGCCTGGGGTCTTCAAACCTTTTTTAACCTCTGAGTTCGTTACTCAAAATGACGATTGTCTGTCCCCAACCACCTGTGGAAAACATAACCGGACTTCTGGTCCGAGTGAAACAGCAGCATTAGTGGACAAACTGGAACAAGCAGCCGGATCACCTGCAAATGGCTCCCTCCACACTCCGCCTCACCTTTTGGCTCCAGCATTGGGTGCCACCTGGCGCCACCGCCTCCCAGCAGTTTTCTGGCGTCACCGTCGCTCCACGGCAGCCCCAGCCCCGGTTTGCAGAACTGCTCTGACAGATCCGGGACAGGACGACTTCTCCGGCCTCTCTCCTCCGAGGCCCTGTCTGAGCCGGCGCTGCTGGGCCCTGGGACCTTGCGCCGGGCCTGCCCGGCTGGCTCTTCCACTCCGTCTCCCAAGCCAACAGCCACTCCTCAGCTTGGCCTCAAGCGGAACCCGGGTGAAAAAGCCGCTGCCGACTTCTCGAGAAAACGACCCGAACAGGCCGCCACGGCGACCTTAGGAACTGCGGTCCCAGGCACCGAAAGGCACCAGAAACCCGCTCTGGCGCCAAGGGGACGCGCCTGCACGACGCCACTTCCGGACATGCGCATATGCCTCGCCGCCGCCCCGCCTCCCGCAAGCCCTGATGCTGGCCAAAGCCTTTCACTCTGCAGTTTGTGGTGCGCCCTCGCCGGCCGGACTTCCCAGAGAGGCTTCCGCCTGTTCTTGCTCCCGGAATCATACTTATTCATTGCACAAGTATTTCCGGTGCACCAGATGCCCACAGCGAAGGGGCCTCCGCGGCAGGAAGCGACTTGGCCGCAAGGAACCCTGGGAACCGCGGGTTTGGCGCAAGCGCAGACCTACGCTGGCTCTGGGCGGCCGGTTTCTCCTTCGCGGTTTCATGTGCGCGGACCCGGGTGCCGGCGATTCTCTCCTTCCGTGGCCTTCAGCTCACGGCCTGTCCCCAGTCNTTCAACAGGGCAGCCACGGGCGGGTGGCCTGGAACCCTCAAAATGTGAAAGTCTGTCAGCAGGCGGGAGCGGCGGTTGGACCTTCAGGGGTGGGAGCGTTCCTCCTCCTAGTGTTGGACCAGCCCTGTTCCTGGAGGAGACTCGAGACTCCTCCCCTGCGGGGCTTCCCTGCTGCGGGCAGGGAATGTTTCAGTGGGTTTCCCAGGACACTGATGCAATTTCCCATGCAGCCTGTTTTATTTAGTGTTTGGTGGCTGACCGGTGAGGGGATCCGAACGCTGCACCTTGGTATTATCGACATGGCGCTGAGCTAACCCTCTGAGCGAACCGGCCAGTCCATGCCT